ATCAACATTGATGTGCCTTTCCTGAAGCAATGGCCAAGATGTCACAATATGCAAAATTGTTTAAGGAAGTTTTATCCAATAAAAAGAAGCTAATTGAGATATCATCTATGCAGCTTGGGGAAGAGTGCTCGACTCGACCATCCTAAGCTAGTGCAGAATCTCATAAAAGCTAAAAGGATCCACAGAGTTTCACTCTACCCTCACCCTGCATTATTATCGGATCTAAACGACGATGACTCAAAGCTTCATCTTTGCTCCGATTTCACTATTGCCAACAATTCAAATCCTCTGACTCCACTTTGTGTCGATGATTCCTACAACTGGGTCAATTTTGTAAGAATTTTTTCTAGGGTTCTTCCTCTATTCATGAGTGACGAAGAGGAAGGAAGGGTGAGGTCAAAATGAAGTAAATGACACTGTCTTTAATTTTTGTTTTTTTGTTTTATTTTCATAAATGATGATATAAGAAGAGGTCAAGTTTAATTTTCCACTCAGCAGGCCATGTAAGAGCCAACTAGGCGCTTACTGGTCGTTGCCTGGTCTCCCACTCAAATATAACTAGGAATGGCAAATTACCCACCCATGGGTAATTATACCCAAACCCAAGTAGACCCATTGATAATGGGTTGGGTATGAGTGAAGTGCATATGGATTTGGGGGTTTATAGATGAGTTTGGGTTTGGGGCTTCCATAATCTAAATGGGTATGGGTTGGATATGGATATCCATTTACTTGATGGTGTTTTAACTACACATGCAAAAATTGGACCTATTTGCAAAACTTGAAAAGTTTAGGTACCAAAATGTAAGACCAAAAAAATTTAGGTACCAAAACGTAATTTTCCATCGATATTTTGAGGGCTTACATGCAAAAAAAATTAAATTTAGGTACTAAATATGCATGTCTATTAAGTTTGGGTACCAAACTGTAATTTGTATTTGGGCATGGGTACAAACCCAAATCCATTTGATATAAACCCAACTCAACCCAAAGTAAATGGGTATGGGTACAAACCCATCAAACTCTACCCATATCCATCTATTTGGATTTCATACCCAACCCAATTGGGTTGGATAGTAAGAAACCCATGGGTATGGGCAAAGTTGCCATCCCTAAATATAACGGTCCAATGGATGATTTAGTATATAAATGACGTATTGAAAATTACGTGATTTACGTCACATAAACTAGTGGTGGCATGTGGGTGGTTAAATCTGCGGTTTAACATCGATCCACCCGCAAAAAATAGTGGTGTGGTTTATCGAGTTTTAGTTTTTTTTTTGGTTAAAATATGTTGATTAATCACTTCTGTTAGCCACATCCGCGAAAAACTGACGGTGTTAATGGAGGCTAATGAAGACTATCGGCCAATGATCAAATTTGGACTACTAAACTAAGACTACGAATGGAATAAAATATTTTTATTTTTAGTGCCAAACATGAAATTTTTTAGTAATGTTAGTGACCAAACATTTATGATTTATCCTATGAGTAATCAACAAAACTTATATGTCACAAGTACTAGATGGATTCATAGGAGAAAAAAGTGGGAAGTGGTTAATTAGAGTTATCTTCCTACTTTGCGATGAAATTTTAATCAACTTAATTGTTCTTGTGAATTAACCCAACAACACAACCAACTTAATTGTTCTTGTGAATTAACCTAACAACACAACCGCATCCATCCACACCCACCCTATCCAACTCGAAGAAGAATGTAATGTGAGGATATAACTTATAGGTGTCAAAACATAGCCCGACCCGATTAACCCGCCCGATCAACCTGACCCGCAACCCGACCGCAACCCGAATTGACTAAAAGTCAACAACCCGTAACCCACCCGACCCGCAACCCGATTGACCCGCAACCCAACTAACCCTCAACCCGACTAACCCGCAACCCGATTAATCCGAACCCGATTGACCGGCAACCCGACTGACCCGCAACCCAATTGACCCGAACCCGATTGACCCGAACCCGACTAACCCGTAACCCGACCGACTCAACCCGAATTTCATCTAATCCACTTGAATAATTATAAAAATATACAATACATAGTTTTTCAAAATAAAGTTTTTCATTCTAAATTTAAGTAAAATTATTTTTTCATTTCGTATAAGAAATTTTAAAAATAAGAAACTCACTTGATATTACGTATTTTAAGAAAATTACAAAAATTGAAACATGAAGGTCTCTTGAGATCATGACAATATTAATATAATATATAAATTAAAATTTTGGTTAATTTAACTATTCAATAAAATTATTAATTAAATATAAATAAAGTAAAGTAATGTATTTGGTAATTGATGTTTTTAAAAGAAGAGGGAAATTTTGGTGTATTCAAGTTTTTGGGAAGAGAAAGAAGAGGGAAAATTGGTTCTTTGAATTTTTTAGAAAAGAAACAAGTGGGAATTTTGGTGGTTTTGATATGTGGGAAGAGAAAGAAGTGGGAAAGTTTGATTTTTTTTTTATTATGAAAGAGAAATAAGGAGAGAAACTTTTGACTTTTCAACTTTTTGTAGAAGGAAAGAAGAGGGTAATATGGTTCTTTCAATTTTATGGAAGAGAAAGAGGAGGGAAAATTGAGTTTTTCTAATGTATGGAAGGAGAAAGAAGGAGGAAAATTTTAGTATTTTTGTGAAAAGAAAGAATTAAACAAATTTAGTGTTTTCAATTTTTTGGTTTTCATAATTTTAGCTTTTGAAATATGAATCTTTAACTTTTATATGGAGGGCAATGACTAGTTAAAATTATTCTTATATGCTTTGAAGGGTAATATGTATATATGTATGTAATTTTTTATGGGCTAATAAATAAATTAACCATTAGTTATAATAATTTATACTAAACTTGATAAGTAATCTTTGACGGTTCGTTGTTTAGGATATAAAGTATATGGTTAGGGTATAAGGTACATATGGTTTAGGGTGTATATGGTTAGGGTATAAGATATTGATGGTTTTGACGGTTCTAAGTTTTTTATTAACATATGTTCACTTGAAGTCTTTAACGGTAGGAGATCCCTTTTTAATTTATGTTTATGGTACGTGGTTAGGGTACAAGGTATGTGGTGTAAAGTATAGGATATATGGTTAGGGTATAACAATTAGCAAATATAACTTTTTATCTATATTTTGAAAATCAAAGTATGAATTTCACTTTTAATTAACTATACTAGCAAAATCACAACTCAAGGACATATGATTAGGGTATAGGTTATGTGGTTAGTGTATAATGTATTGATGGTTTAGGGTATACAATCAACAACATATACTAACTTAATATTGTTGATTGAGGGTAAAGCTAAGTGTATAGGATATATGCTATTGAGTAAGTTATGATTGAAGTCACAATAATTTTACTAAATTTGATAGCTAATCTTTAATGGTTCAATTTTTAGGATAATTCGAACAATTTTACAAATAACTCGTTTGACAATAGTTTACTAAAGTTATTTGGGCAATGAGTTATTTTGAAATAACTCCTTTTATCACTATGCTTTTGCCAAATACCACACGCCAAATACCAGATTTGCATGGTTATACTAAACGAGATATTTTAATCCAATTACTACTCAATTAATACTAAAATATCAAATAAACAATTAACGGTGTCTTTTGGTTGCAAATATTGATATCACCATTACTATTAGCTACAATACTTTACCAATTATGATTAATTACATAACAAGTTTGCAAGTCATACAAATTGATTTAACATTTTGACTAGTTTTTTTCAAAAAAATAAAGTATATAGATACGAGGTAGAAATAAATTGGTGAAAAAGTTGAGAAAATATTTTAAATTAGTGTAATAAAATGTGTAAGTTGGTAATGAGTAATGAGTTAAGTTACTTGATGCACTGGCCCGAACAACCCGAAACCCGACCCGCCCGACCCAAAACCCGATGAACCTGCAACCCGATTTGCCCGCAACCCGATTGAATCCGAACCCGATGAACCCACAACCCGACTAACCCGCAACCCGTTTGAACCCGAACCCGATGAACCCGCAACCCGTTTGAACCCAGCCCGAACCCGCCCGATTGACACCACTCATATAACCATGGACAATTGTATCAACTTGTGGTGATTGTACGGGTGAGTCAATTTATACTAAAATTCAATCCACCCAGTTTCGCTAAGGGGTCGTTTGGATTGAGTATTTGGGGGTGTTATTTGAGGTCAAATAACACAAAATCTGTTATTTAACCCCAAATAACATGTTTGGCTGACAAAAGGTGGGATGTGTTATTTGGATGTAGTGTTTTGTATCAACTTGTGGTGATTGTACGGGTGAGTCAATTTATACTAAAATTCAATCCACCCAGTTTCGCTAAGGGGTCGTTTGGATTGAGTATTTGGGGGGTGTTATTTGAGGTCAAATAACACAAAATCTGTTATTTAACCCCAAATAACATGTTTGGCTGACAAAAAGTGGGATGTGTTATTTGGATGTAGTGTTTTGCCAAATAACAGGTTTGAGACCAAATAACACAAAAAGTGTTGTTTGCCAAATACTTGGGAGGGAGCAGGTATTTCCCAAATAACAAGTTTGAGACCAAATATCACATACCAAATAACAAGTTTTATATTATGTGGTATTTGTGTGGTAATTGGCCCCAAACAACAAGTTTATCAAATACTCAATCCAAACGACCCCTAAAAGTTTACTAACTTTTAGCAGTATTATCCTTCATTTAACTCACTTTTATCATAATGCGCAAAATCCCTCAACCAATTGGAAAAGGGGAAGCTCACAAAATATCTCGCTGTTTTCATGGGGAACAGTAAGAACTGCAGAAAGGGCTGAATGGAATTTCACAGACTCATTTCAGGTTCAGACAGTTGCAAGAGATCAGATATTATTACGGAATGGATGGGAAGTCATTTTATGGACTCAAAATTTTGTTGACAAAATTAAGCACTCAAAGAACTTTGCCACATATGACAGGACGGACCGAGGCACACTCGTACCCATACTGTGGCCAGTGGCAATCAGCTGCCGTTCTTGGCGGCAGCTGTTGCAGCCACCGGCGGCTCGTCATCGTCATCTGTTCCAAAATATCTGTCTCCGAACTCCCCCATTCCTGGTATGACACGGAAATCCTCGTTCAAACCCGTCTCAATCTCGGATGTCACGATCTTTATCCTGGGGAACTTTTTGCAGACAACATGAACTCCCTGGGGTGCCTGGAGGAAAACAATTAAGCAGACAATAAGCTGGCTGCAACGACACATCCGAGGAAAGCCGTGAACAAGAAGAAAAAACGTTGAAGAGGGCAGCAATCACTTACAGATATGAGATTAAGGAATATAATGTTGGCCTCGGGCACGCCCTTCCTGATGAGTAAGGAAATGGCTTGAACTGCAGAGTTGCCTGGAAGTTGAATATGGGAATGATACGTTAGAGGCAAGAAAGAAATGAGACCAAATGAGGAACATAAGATACGTAAGACGGTTCGACTGTTTGTATCAGACAAACCTGTTCCTAGAATGGGATCGAGTAGCAAGACATGCCTATCTGCAATGTCTTTAGGTAACTTTTCGTAGATCAGCTGTTATGCAGTGAAGCAACAGACAACAATTAAGGGACACGAGAATATGCAGCCACTAACAGAAGGAATTTTGGTTGAAAACGTTTACATACATTCTGACCGTTGTCACCTTCTCTATGGATGAGAATCTTCCCTATCTTGATGCCTTTACAACATGCTCGCAAGGCATTTTCCATACTCTCACCACTGAAAATCAATCAGCATCAAATCACAGTGCAGTCCCCCGCCTTACTTAGGCAACTTCTCATGTTGAAAATAAGTTTTCTGGAAACAAACAAAGGGTAATCAAACTTCAATTACCTCCTGACAACTGACACACCACACAATCTCTTGCAGAAGTCCACACCAGTATATACAGAACCTGTTTCACAACCAAAGGATTCTTTGAACTAACCATGAAGGAAAAGAGATACTGACAGGTGAAAACGAACAACTTTCACTACAAGCTTTTGAGTATACACATATGACATATGATCACACATTTGCATCAAGATAGTTACAAGCTCCCCAAAATCAAACTGACCGATCGTGATCATAACTTCAAATCTAATGTTTCTGAAATATACTACAAAATCAAGCACCAGTGTGTTGGACTCTAAAAAAGCACCTGAAAGAATTAGAACAATATTATTTTGACCTATAAGAGTACAAAAAGCATATGCAAGGTCCAGGATAACAGATCATTCCTGTAAATTAAGGATAAATCACAGAATAATGAAGGAAAGAGATGAAAATATATAAAATGAATGCAACAGCAGGGCTGTAGCATGGATCAACAATCTTCAGGATACACTTTCAAATAACTTCTTCAGGATCAGTCATATAATCAACAGTATGCAAAAGGCCACACCCATACAGATGAAGAATGCATGAAGATAGTTATGGTGTCAAGCAAGATCAGCTTACCGGTGGGAGTGATCACCTGCTTCTCTGTAAAAGGTAGGTGTCCCAGACCATGCTCAACTACCTGGAAAAGCATGAAAGATCTGACAAGTCAACAACAAGGAAAGAAGTCGCAACACTACTATTTGATCCCTAAATTAACCTTCACATTAGTAATACAAGTATCTCTCAAGTTTTAAGGGGACTTCAGAAATAGAGGCTCTAGCTTGGAGAGAGTCCCAAACTACTAAGTGAAACGGAGAAATGAAAAAGATACTATATGACTCATCAATTTTCAGAACTTTGGTCACTTGAACACAGCTTAATGCTTTCTCCATTGTTGTCCCCTCCTTTTCTTTCCTCTATGGCCAAGAAGACATCAAATAGATGCAATCCAGAAATGGATCATATTGTTGCACCAAACTGCTATCGATTATAACGTAAATACACGGTTTCTCTGATCAGCCAAAAAAAAAAAAAAAAAGGAACAGAATGTGCAGAACTTGACCGGGGTGAGATCAGAATGCAAGATGAAATAGACTAACCCAGAAACAAAGAAGACATCAAAAGGAGAGAAGGAGAAACAACAGAGACAAGCTCACCAAACGAATAAGCCTGTCAGCATAGAAAACAAAATCATGTTTGGTTGTTTGAGAGTCACGTATAAGGGTATGCATGCCACGTATCTGCAAGACAAGATGGACGATACTTCAATAAATAATAAAGAGTACATCACATAAAATAAAGAACAACTTTTATGAACAACTAATTGCAATCAACTTTAGAAATAAGAGTTGTGTGGCTGAGTAAAGATAGACAAACCTGAAAAGTTGATTGAATGACGTATAAATTGGGGTAAATTTTACAGAGATCATGCTGGCCAAGTTTTGTACGAATATGCTGCACAATTAAATCAATTGCCACATGATTATCACCACCACGAGGAATGATGATGTCTGCGTACTTTTTTGTTGGAAGTATGAAGTCATCAAAAGCAGGCTTCACAAATTTGGAATACTGCATCAAACAATTAAGAGTCACTAGACATTAAAAGGATGAGAAAAAGGAGGTGACCAGCTTTCTCCAAGATATAAATTAATTAGGAGTCACTTAAACTGGCCACCAAGACACATGAAAGTCATATTTCATGAGTACTACAGAACCAAGTAAATGAAATTGCAAATAGACTGACCTGATCAAGAACTGTGGCAATATCTCTACCTTTCTCACCAGTATCACGCCTTATTCTCCTGGCCAACCGTACATCCGCATCTGCACTGAAAATTGGTAATGTAAAGCAACAGAGAAACCTCTCACCTTTTCCCCCATTTACTCTCATTTTAAACTTCTAGGATTCGCTAACATGAAATTGATATTTATTACAGTACCATTATACTATACTTCATCAATCAGTATGAGACATAGAACCAGGTAGCTGAGTTTAGATCTACTTCACACAAATGGTCAAATTGTTTTGATGTATTTGCAGACTGAGTTGGACTCAAATTTACAAGTTGTGAGAGTAATTACACTGAATGTCTACCTACAACTTCAAGGATAAGTAAATAATGAAAAAGTGAACTGATCAAAAGGAAAGAAGCATGACAACCTGTATCGACAAATATCTTCATGTTCATCAGCTCTCTAATACGAGGATCATGAAAAATGAGAATGCCTTCCAAAATTATAACATCCGACGGATTAACCTGCACATGTTTAAAAGCAATGACACTTTAGAACTGAATTGGTACGGGAAGCAACTAGATGCTCAAATAATCTGGCAATCAAGTAGATACCTAATGATTGTGTGAGAAAATCGCAAATTACAATGGAAGACCAAAGCTCAGACATGAGAGGAAAGACCAAATGGTCATATCGAAACGTCAGACCGAAAATACGGATGACATATTACAGAGCTTTACAAAATGAAGAAGTGAGTGTTGAGTTATTTTACATAACATATAATCTCAGAGAGGAAAAGAAACAGAGGTAATTCAACAATAAATATCAGCTTCCTGTCGAGAAACACAATGCAGATTCATCTGATTATCTAGCCATCAACACTAAACCAATATAATTAATTATGATCCTTAAAAGGCCTCTTACCAAGACATAACGGGACAATGTCATTCAAGACACTACTACAGCTGTTTCATCTCAGTTTTTTTATCGTTGTGTTAACCAAAAATTCCAGACAGAAAACTTCTATGACAATTTACTGGAAGTTATGGACAAATTAACACCATAAAATCCAAGAATGTTTGAAGGAGTCTTACTCCATCGTGTTCCTTCATTTTCAGTATCTATTACTGGGTATTGCATAAACTGAAACGAGTTGGATCTAGGCTATCTCATATCAATAGGTTCGAAGATATATACCCTTCTTGCAGGGAAAACATCACTTTTGTAACTCTTGAAGTCATACTTGGGAATATCTACAGCCTGTCCCTGCCTCAGCTTCTCCATGGCAGATAGCAGTTGATCGTTGTCAAATGCATCTGTAAATTGAAAGGGTGGATTTTGGTTATGGAGCACAACTATATGCTACATAAGAAATTATATTACAAAACCATACAATTCCATGTACTAGTTAATTTTTGTCTTTAGTCGTTCATAGGTGCCGCCACAATATAAACTCAATGTCTTTATGGATCGTAATCGCAATATAAGACAAGTGAGCCAAGTCCACGATATGAGGCACAACAAAAAAGTTACTTCTTAGCAGCTTGTCCATAATATGGCCATTGCCAGTCCTTAGGTTGGAATCTTTTTTCTTGATTCATCAGAATCAGATACAGATACCAATGGGCTAGGGAATAGAGGAATTCCTCTACTCACCAGGATGATCAAAGTTGTATTCATGGACCCGTTTAAGTTCTTCTTCTGTGAGATTGAAATAAAAGGAGTCCTGCCCACCAAAAGAGATAACATATTTGATTTAGAAGGAGTAACAGAGCTGAAGCATTAAACTTTGTGCACCATTGCAAACAAACAAAATATTTGACTGTTTAAGACTCTTACACCACAAAATCAGAAACAAAAAGGTCCATGAGTAGTTTTATGCTTATCATGTAAATTAATAACAGCAAAGTGGGCATAACTTGAGAAACAACACCCAAACGGAAGATCTCTATCTCATAAAGATAATTGAGTTTCAACCATAGCAGTTCTTTATTTTACAAAAGCTTCCATTTACCAAATCAACTCCATTGGCAGAAGTAATAAATCCCCACACGCTACTCAATGTTACCTGATTAACAAGTACTACACGCTGATCATGCAGCTGTTGGATGATCATGTCGCACACCGTTGTTTTCCCAGAAGCTGCTCCTCCAGCAACTCCTACATAACAACACATGTTAAACAAAACCTGAACAAAAGGAACAATGAAGTTGCGGGGAAATGCAATGTACGCCCAGATTGATGCGAATTCTGACAATATATTTGTTTAATCACAGAGCATTCCCTAGCTAGCTAGCTGGAATCCAATATCCTAAATTCCAAGACACATAATATTCAGGGGTCGTTTGGATGGAGTATTTAAGTGAGTTATTTGTGAGTTATTTCGACACAAATAACTCGTTTGGCAGCATTTTACTGAAATGAGTTATTTGGGCAGTGAGTTATTTGTAGTAACTCAAAACAAGTTATTTCTAAATAACTCATCCAAATACTCAATTCCCCCAAGCAGGGAGTGTGAGCAAGAAATCCTATCGGTTACAACTTATGCTGCATTTCTGGAGTTGTCATGAAAATGCTAGAAACTGTCTCATTTTCCAATCCAGTATAACGTTGGATACAGCTTTTGAGCTGAACATCATTCAACACTCACCAATAACAAAAGGTTGATTGTAGATCCCATCACTTGCGGAGGTGGTTGGCTGCCCATTACTTCTAGCACCCAATGAGCCATCCATGTGAAACCCAGAAAAATGTGCACCTGAGGATGCCTCAATCATATCCACAACTGATTTGGAACCCATAGCCAGAGTCCTGCCACAGTACAAGAACAAAATAATGACTTGTTACTGACAACAAACCGATCCATTTCTTGCACTCAATCAACTTGCTCAATGCAAATACGCCCCAGTCTGCACCTAGACCGGTATTGCAGAATGGAAATAGAAAGTCACACTTCGAATTCACTTTCTGCATGCACAACCTAATCAAAGGCACTTATCTCACCATAGTTCTTATATGCCAAAAAGGTATTCAATGCCGTGATGATCACAGCTTCAGAGTTGCTCAAGCCACCACAGAAGCATTAACACCTCCAATTATACTGACACGTTAGTCGTGACCACGATAAAAAAAAAAAAAAACAGAATGCAAGAGACCCAGTCAACTCGAAATGACCCAACTCAGCTAAAAGAAAAAAGGAGGAAAGAAAGCCTCCACTGCATGAAACCAAGCTGAACCACAACTGGACATGATGATCAAGCAATCAATGGTGTATAGAACAAAGAATCAGTCGCGGCAACTGACATTTCCAATACGCCACAAACATAGTACTAGATTCAATCAAACTCTACCCCGTAACGATTTAGAGGCTCAAAAGAACAAAGAAGCAACATGTAGGAATATGCAATGCAGATTCTAGAATATTACCTGAAAATGAAGCTCAAATCAGAGATCGATTAGACGGTGGTAAATATAAATAAGGAAACTCTCGAGTTTTCTTCTGTAATCGGTGGCTAGCGGTGATTGATCTGAGGTGACGGCGGCTGCCTCGGCTATCTCTCTCTCTCTCTATCTCTCTCTCCGAAACTTCACTGTGCCAAAAACCGGATCTATCTCTCTTTCTTGTGTAGAACCAGAGATCAGCTGCTTTGCTTCTTCTGCCTCTCTCTTTCTAAGTTTGGGCTCGGAAATCAGAAGTAGTCGGCTGTTTTTTCTTTTCTTTTCTCGTTTGGTGGTTGTTTTCCACACTCACCCGATCCAACTAAAATCTAATGATAGCCCACAGCCTGACAGCCATGGGCTACGTGACTACGTCTTGATATATTTTTTTCTTCAAATTTGGTAGAATTAGATGTATAAGAGTATGGGACTATGGGGTGGTTTGGATGTGGAAATTTAATGCAGTAATTGGATCCAATTACCACATAATGCAGTAATTGGGTTAAAAATCCACGTTTGGTAGCGCAAAAAAGTATGGGAATTGGACCGTGGAAATTGGCTTCAATTATCACACATTTATTGTAATTGAGAATATTACATCTCCACCTAGTAATTTGACATTACCACGTTTTCTTCCTTATATTTCCAAATGTGTCACTATGTCCTTCCTCTCCTTTTTTTTTTTGATAAGGGTGATATAGGTTTCATTTTGTAATTAAGGTACTACTTAAGGGATTCGAACCTGGGACCTCCTTTCTTTCTTACTCCTTCTCCGTTTTCGCCTAATTATTTCTTAAAAGAGTAGCCCCTTCTTTTTCATTCATCAATGGTACCTCTTCTTCTTCATCTCCCCTCACCTTCGTATATCTCCTATAATCCGTCATCAATTTCTTAATTTTGGATTTGCTTAATTATCTCATTCACCGTCGATTTTCCTACTTTTCCTCATCGAATTCACCTAAACACTTTTAATATTCATATTTAATGAATTAAATTGTTAACTTTATTGTAATTTATATATGTACTTATTATTAAAATAATTAAGTTTATATATTTATGGCTTTTAATGTACTATTAAATGTAATATTAGGTTAGAGATGAAGTAAAATAATCGTACGTATTTTATACGTAACTTTTCCATATCATATTTTTCTAACTATGCTTAAGTTAGCAACAATTAGTAGTTAGTATAATACAACAACAACCTTTAGGAGGGGTATATGTATATAAACAAAGGAGTGCATTTTTGTATTTTTACCAAATTCCACACCATCAATTCCCACAAAACTAAACCCTATCCAAACGTGGAATTTTGTTCAATTTCCACAAGTCAATTCCTTGGATTTGTAAAACATGGAAATTTAGACAAATTCCCACGTTTTCAAATTTCCACATCCAAACGACACCATATGTTATTGGAATCCCAAATGCAAGATGATATAGTATGAGTGTTTGGAATTGCAAAATCAATTGCATTGTACCAATTGCATATTTGTAAACTTGCAAAAATGCAAGTCAAAAAAGCCTAAAAAAATGGAGATTTTTTTATTTATATTTTTTATTTTGTTTTTTTATTTATGTTTTATAATTTAAACATAATATTTAATTACAAATGCAATTGCAAGTTAATTGCGTTGATGTAGGTTAGGGGTGGGAAACGATGATGTCCATACTAGACCAGACCAGACCATAGACACGACCTATGGTCCAAACCGAGAGGTTGGAACACAGACCATGGACCAGAATATATACTATATGGTCCAGACCATACCACACCATGCGGTTCGGTACGGTCTAGACCAGGCAGACCATGTAAAAAAAATTCATTGTTATTTTGGCCTCCAACTCTTCAACGGTATCAATAAAAATTACAATGACCAATATGCCAGTGAAACAAAAATATAGTGATCGTAATAAAAATTAGAAGAAATATATGAGGAGAGAAGTGGACTTTCTTCAATTTTCAAACTCTCTCTAGTCTCCACAACACTACTCAATATCCATTAAATAAAAACACACATCAAATAGCTTTGTTTCCCTCTTCTTCTTTGTGCTAACGCTTGTCTCCCTCTCTCGGGTGATTCTAAGGTTCTCACGATCGATCACCTTCGTGATGACGTCGAGGTCATTTTGAACCACTAAGATGGTCGTTTATCTCTCAATAATTTTCCTTATCTCATTAAAGTGAATGAATTTTTTTCTAGTGTTTATGTTTAGTCGACTCCATAGTATAGACATTGTCGGTGAATATAATTTCAGAATCTTTCTAGTTTTTGTGTGATTCTTTGATAAGAAGATAACGCATAAGCGATCATTTGGGCAATCTGTTGGCTCTCAACTGGATGAAAAATTAACTAACTTTGTTCTTCAAATACATAAATTGAGGTTTAATTTAGTTTTATTTTGGTATGAGTTAGTAGGTAATGTGTCATGGTCTATTACGGTTTATTGCGCTAGACCGCGGTCCAGACCACACATTAAAGGAGGAGACCGCAAACCAGACCAGACCACAGTTATGGTCTCACAGTCCAGACCATACGATACGGTCTAGACCGTGGTTCCCCATACTATTTGGAGTGGTTTGGGGTGAATAAAAGTGATTTGAAGTGGATTGCAAAAAAATTGAGTTGGCAATAAAGAGCATAAATGCAATTGCTTTTGCAATTGTATTGATGTGGGTGCTCTAATATAACCTTTTACTATTTATCAAACATATCAACTTATTATGTTTTTTAAAAAATTATCAAATAAATTATTTTGTTAAAATTTTAATCCACATGCCGTCAACAACAGTCGAATCTTGGTTTGGGCAACCTAAATGTCTAAAATATTACTAATAATTTCAGTTAAACTTTTTTTTGTTTCTTTGTATGCCCAATATCACTAATAATTTCACTTTAACGAGACAGAGAGAAATAAATGAAAAGAAAAAAAATTGACATTCCATCCCATTTTGCCGAGCTCGGGACGTTTGAACCATGGTTTGACCGTAGACGATTTTTGGATGAAATTTTTAACATAAGTACATGTTTGATAATTTTTTAAAGTACAGGGTATTGTTTGATGTAAAAAATAGTAAATAAACATATTTGATAAAAATGCATAGCAGATAGGGATAATTTATCTATAACCCTATTTTTTAATAATGGAATAGTGTTTAAAGTCTGAAAACTGAAAAGTAACAAATGCCAGTGAAAAGTTACCATGTATAGATTTCAAAATTTACAACTATTTCTTCTTTTTTATGTGAAATCAAAAAATTGCATTAAGAACTGGCTTCATGAGGAAAACACCTGATACGCCTCTCAAACCTTTACACTGACAATTTAGTATGGGTTACATTATAACTACCACTTTAATCAAACCAACTATTATACTCAATTTGAAGGGCAGGATCTCCATTTGCTCGATAAATGACCTCTTCACAAACTACCTTCGCTAACTCCTTCGGATGCTTAATAGATCTGGATCCATACATCCGAGAACAACGCTCCCTCCAAATATGGCTAAGAGCTGCACTCTACATCAACCGGCACATCTTTTGCTTTGAGGACTTCGATTTCAACTTCTGAACACACCAGGACAGAATGCTTTCCCAACCACCTACTACAAGTGGGGAGTTACTTCTTAATACCTACTGCAAAACAAACACAGTATAAGAGTAGTGCACAAGCATATGCTCTCTATTTTCAACACTTCCAGGGCATAATAAACAAAGCCCTGAACTGATTTTCCCCAAGATAGCATCTTATCTTATGTAACTAGCCTATTGCGAAGAGCTAACCAGAGAATCATGCCATGTTTAGGTATTACTTCTGGAGCCCATACAAGCTTCCACCAGTTAACCTCTTGCTCATGATGCCGAATAGATTTCAGACCCTTGTAACTAAACAGTTTTGCATCTGTTCCCCTGCCATAGAGTATTAGGACCTGTTCCAGAGATAAGAGGGTAAGCCAGTTGATGCGACCCCGCTCACCCCACATGACATTACTCGACCTCAAATTAGATCTTTACATGGACCATGGGCCAAGAGACGAAATAAGAGGTTCAAAGAGGTCTTGTGAGCATTCAAGATGGGTGACAATGGCTCTCCAAGCAAGGCCTACGAGTTTGTTGATGTGAAATCGATTGGGATAACATATAATTCTCGTGGTCCAAAGATGAAGGCACAAATACAACGATACAAGGATCAAATGGGATCATACTTGATGGATATGGAATTGCATCGAGGAAAGCCCATCACATTACTATAATTTGCGGCTCAGAATCACGAGAAGTTGGCTCGGAGAAAGGAGTGAAGATTCGGCCCAAAAGAAAGGAATTCCCTCATGGTGTGAACAAAAGGTGTGAAAGGAACACAAG